GGAGATTAATACAGAAGAAGATAACTGTAGACTGAAAAACAAGTTCAAAACCAGATTTCTATGTTGTCCGAGTTGCAACATGTCTGTTGAATCTAAAACATATATCATCTCCTTTGTTCTAGCGGGAATGTTATAGGCTAAATATCTGAATGGATTTTGCTGAAACCCGAAATATAACTGTTTGCTTTCTTCCTGGTGCAGAATCGGTCTGATGCTCAGAAGGCTCTCAGAAAGAACGGAATGCAAATTAACGGGGCACTAATCGTTGGTGTGAAGCAAGTGGATCCAATGCAACGTGAAGCCCTAAATGAAAGAGTGACCAATCAGGGATTCATGACTCTGCCCCCACCATCGAGTAGAACATCAGAGCTGAACAATTTCCGGCTGTCTCGCCCTTACTATCTTCAAAATGGCAATTCCAATGCGCGCCATTCAGGAGGCACAGCTATCGCAATCCCTACGAAATCACTGGGGACCAAAGTCATGGAATACATGTTTGGATATTAGGAGAAAATGTGTGCTCAGTCAATCGCAGGTCCTTTGTTCTATTACCTGATTGTTTGATCATGTTCCATAACAAAGGAAAGAGGGTATGCCTGAACAATAAATGTCCCTTAGAAGGGGAAGTATTGCAGATTCTGTTGTAATTGCAATTGTAAAAGACTACGGAGTTGAAATGCGAGGATCTACAAGACTTTTGGCCATTAGAAATTGCGAAAAATCATGGTGAAAAAGCAACCTTTTTTCTTTAAAAAAAAACACCTGTTGAAGTAACCTTGAATAATTACAATATAAATCAGATTAGATACACACTTTGTAAGATTTAAATAAGTTTTGAATTTATAATAAATATGTTTTAACATCAAATCTAATCTCATTGATCAAAAAAGGACAAATAAAATTGGTATTGAAAATGGTTACTATGTTAAAGTGTAAACTACATTAGTGGTCACTGAAGTATAAATAATTTTTTTATTTCAGCACTGAAATTTCAAAACTAATGAAACGGTCACTAACATTACCTCAAACTCTTCAATACCATTAAATTTTTTATAATTTTTTAGCTAGATTAATTTGTGTTTACTATAAGTGTTTTTTTTTATTCGAGTTAAAATTTAATTGGTCTCATGTAGTTAAAAGATAGTTGGGTTTTAATCCTTGATGAGTTTTAGTTTAAAATATGTATTTAATATATTTTTATTAATTCAATTAATTAATTGATTTCGAATCATAACTATTAACCTATATTGAAAAAATCATTTGTTTCTCGACTGAACTAATTTCGATGATTAACCGTTTAACCGAATAAATTCGATTCGACCAATTAATTCAACTAAAACTTAGACTTGAACACCCTTGCAATTGATAGCTTTGGAATCAGAAACATATGTCACAATCCCCATCCCACATTCAGGGTGTCAAACTGCCATCCACCCTCAAATTAAGGTCATTTCACTATGATATCAATAATTATGGATGGATATAAGATTTTATGTTAGGGACGAATTTCTAAAATTTTACAAAGAGATGGATTTTATAAAATTCAATAACCTTTGCCTTCTAACATGAGATTTAATGTTATTTGTCTCTTTATTTTTCTAAGATCAATTAATGTGTAATCCTAGAAATTCATTTTTAAGATACTTGCATCGATAGGTTCAATCTTATTTGAAGTATGACTATGATTATATTATTAAAGAAGACATGAATTTGAACGGATCTAAGTAAATAACATATTTATTTAAGAGCTTATAAATTAAAATAATTTATATATTATATAAAAAATATTTATTTACACCCTCGTGAACGATATATACATTCGTAAGTATTAAATAAATTCTAATTCAAATTTTTCACCTAATAAATGGCATTCACATTTTCACTCTAAAATCTAAGGTTATAAATTTTAAAAACTCTCATCGAAATTTAAAATTCTAATATATAATGAGATTCAAAATATGATAATATGTTGAAGGTTCTAAGAATATGAGTAACACCAACAGGTTCAAATGGTAAACAGTTTGATAACGCTTAAGTAAAGTCTCAAGTTCGAGTCTTTGTGTATTTAATCATTTTTCAATTAAATAAGAGTTGAATTTACTTATAAAAAAGTTGATCTCACATCTTATTATGTTATTTTGTATAGAACTCTAAAAAGACACGACCCAATATCGAGTCTTTAAAAATTGATTGACTTAATTGATCAAATCTCTAAAAAGATTTGTAAATTAGTTTCTCAACCTCATAATTGGATGTTCATTAATATCGAGTCATCAAAAATTGATGGACTTAATTGATGTGTATGAAGAAGTTATTAAGTAATATTAAAGACAAATTTCGATCTGATAATACTGATTTGGTACCACATCAATGTGTATTTAAAAACATGGAATCTTTTCTTTAAATGTCAAATCTTTGGAGTGGGTTTACATGTTAACCCAACAGTTATAAGTTGGTGAAATAGAGCAACAACAATGGGAAAAGGGTCCAAATGAGGATGGGTCCGGCTTTGTTGGTTGAAAGTAGATTACAAAACAAACGTAAACAAGTGTCCCTTGCAATGTCTCAAACCCCCAAGTGTCGATGTTTTGTCAGGCTTTGCCATTCATCACATGTCCACGTCTCCCTCGTACTCCCTTCACCCTCTTGGGCTTCCAATCCACTCTCTTTGCCCTCTTTTGTCCTATTCAAAGTTTCATCATCAGCATATAGACGTTGCCTTCTCGTTTGTGGCGCTTGTATGAAGAGTAAAATGAGTGAGAAGAGCACGTCAAGTTATCTACATCGTCCTCCGAGGGATCTTCGACCATAAATGCAAGTTTTACATCTCGGTCTACAAATATTGGCCGGAAAAAACACGAACATCGCAGAGGTTTTTAGGAAGAGGTTGGGTGTGTTATTGATTATTTCATTTATAGGGGTATAATCGATTGACTATAGTATGTCACGTGAGTCTGTTAGATATGAAGTCAGTTGTAGGATCATGATAGCTATTCGTAAGTTGATAGTCTTAATATATATGGTCGGTTGATAGTAGATTTAGCTATAATAGGTCAAATGAATCTATTAGATATCATATCAAGAGGTCGCGACTTCTCAAGGGGATATCAAGTGTTTTAGATCACATCTCCAGAGATATTCTCTTGAAACCACATTGGTGAACATGTGTTGGAAACTCCACATAGAAACTTGTCAATCGGATTCGGGGAGGAAGCTCATGATACCATCGGAACTTGATATTATTTCGAAGTTGAAGAAGCTTTGGCTTCAATGACCTTAAAGATTTGTTCCACTCTCATACTATGTACAAAACTAGCACAAATTTGAGTTTTCGTAACCCATTAATTAGCTGACCCTATTCCCATATGTAATGGGGTAAGGGGGAGATAGGGTAGTAGGTTGCCCCCAACGCTAGGTTGAGAGTAACTTCCGTGGAAGACCTCCGGCAATTATGAAATGCCCACCGTGAGACTCGATCCCACGACCACAAGATTAAGAGTCTTGCGCTCTACCAACTGAGCTGGACGGGCAATTGTAACCCATTCATTTAGCTAATCCCATGAAAACACCTGCAAGGTTAAGCGGTCTATTAAACAAGCCTAAGTCCAACCCGAAATTAAATAGGAGCCCAATATCTGTTTAAGAGAGACCTAACCTCTCTAGCCTTTACTACTCATCCAATCAAATCGGGTTGACTGAGCCATTTCAAGGGGTCAACTCCGTCAAACAGGATTAAGACAAGCAGTGAACCAATCAATGTTAAAGGTCAATTTATAAATGTAATATGAACGAAGGTGGTGAAATTTGTACTCAAATATTTTAGTACTTAATTTATTATTAGTGGGCTGTATGGGGTGGTTGAAACCATAGGCTGCCTACCAATCTCTTCAACTCAAATCTCCGCTTACGTTTCATTTTACCCTAAAATATTGTAAACTTTACATTTTCTTTAAATTAAATACTTCACATCCATGAGTTTGTTCAACAAATGTCATCTTCTTTTATGTTCTACTTATGCCTTTTATAATTGTTATTTTTATTTATTATTAGGGAATTGTTAATTGGGTCACGATGATACTAGTATATGTGATATTTGTTGGATTAACATCCATAATTATGGGTATCTGATTATTCATTATGTTCTAAAACCATCATTTTTTGTTAAATTTTGACGACAGTCTGAGTTGTATGTTAACCCACTGGCAGGTATATGATAAAATTCGATCTCGTAATCTCAAACGACTATCATATATCAGTTAGCACGTTGAAGTCCAGCCCAGAAGATCGTTAATTTTATAATGGAAAAATTCGAGGTTGGAACATCATGAATAGTCGAGTGATCATTTTATAACATTTAATAGCCGACAGACTCAACAAATCAGCTTCCTATAGCCGAGTGACCATTTTATAACTTTTAATAGTCAAGGGACTCGATAAAATAATATATTATAGTCATGAGCCCATTTGTGTAGTTTACCCTAATTTTTAATCACTTAATGAATTGTTTATTAGAGCTGATTGAAATGATTTGGCAGCTCAAAAATGGAGGCCACTAAAGAGGATGTTTTGGTGGCATGCTTTTGTGACCACCAACTTATTTTCCTCAAAACAATGCCCCCATCCTCTTCACATTCTTTTAACTCTTTTATAAAAAACCAAAAGTCTCCATAGTGGTTATATGCCTAAGCATACACCTTTATTGTCTATAATAAAATATAAAAAAAATGTTTTGGTGAATATTCTTAAAAATGTGAATTATTTTAATTTTGATTTAATTATACAAAAAAATATATAGGCATATGTATCCATATTTTTTGTTTTATATTTAAGAGTTTTAATGATAAGAGAGTATGTTTAAGTATAAATTCAATTATTAATGTGTTTCTACTTTGAAAGTTTGAAGAAAAGAAAATCTACTTCCAACAAAAAGGAAATCTATAGAGAAATCCAAAGTTCCAGCTTAGTATAAAAACCCAAAGTTGAATCGAAGGGGAAGGACAAGGCCGCAACGAGGACGACGATAACAACAACGACATAGTAAAACTGAGACCAAAGCTTTCTCTGCTCCTTCAACCATGAACGTCTCAGCAATCGGTGAGTCGAATCGGGTTGGGCTCGACGAGTCGTATCGACCTTTGCCTGCGCTTTACCTGGGTTTCCTTTCCATCTGGTTCTTCTCCGCTTGCTCTTGGACTTTCAACACTTACAAAAACCGCCACCTCCAGGTTATATCTTTTACTTTTTGATTGAATTTCATTGCTTTCTTTGTTAACTTTCAAGTTTAATGATTTTCTTATCCCATGATATGATGGATAATGAAAAGTTTAAAACTGCCCCAATCAAGCTGACAGCTTTACTCAAATTGTATTTCGTTTGTTTATGCTTTCTATAGATATAAAAAAAATTTGGGTTTAGTTATTGATCCAATTATATAAATACAGAATGAAAGAAAAAAACAGTCTCTAAGAATTTCAATTTCCTTTTTGAGTTATTTTCAATTTGGCCAATGAATTTTAAAGTTTTATCAATTGGTTTTGAACTTCGGATGTTCCTTCCAATCCCAAATATGTTGTTTTTATGTTCTCTAAGGTTAAGGCACATAGCTGTTTAATGGAAATTTTGTATCTTTCAATCCCCCTAACAAAATAATGACAAATTGTTCGATTTTCTTATGATTTTTTATCATTGTTTTAATTTTTGTTTTCTTATTGTTATACTGGAACAGATAAATAATTTACAATGGACTCTTGCTTCTGTACCATTGATTAAAGCCTTGCAACTCACTCTATCTTTCCTTTTCTGGTAAGTTTTGATTTTCCAGCAATACTAGCTTCTCTGTCTTTGAATCAAAAAGTTAGAAATCAGCTTATTGAGCATTTATAAGCAATTCATGTGATTTAGATTCTGCGATTAATACGCGAAGAACTTACGATTGGTAGCATTGACAGTTTCTTTAGTTAATTCAGTGTCACCCTTCTGCACTAATTTTCCTACTATTTGCAAACTTCTAGAATATCGGATCTCTCAAACATAAAAACACTTTCAATCTGTAAGGTTAGGGAAACTTTCCAGGTTACGTCCTAGGCATGAGGATGATTGTAGAGATCAAAGAGATGAAACAAATATATGATATAATGGAGGCAGTGGAAAGTCTCCGCAAGTTAATGGTGTTTGTTTAATCAACAATATCCGAACAATAAGGAAACCCTGCAGGAAAATTTTACCTGTTTAACTACATGTTGCATTTCATGGCTATCTAAAAGAAGTTAAAGTGGTGTTGCTTATTTCGACTGTTCTTTATTTTGTGGAATTTTTTCCCGGATTTCTAAGGGACCGTTCTTGCAGGTATTCATGCTTTTATCTTGAGCTATGCTCACTGTGGATGTCATTCGGGGTGTATATAACTGGAGTGCTCTTTCAGACAGTTTCATTCGTTTCCTTTTTGCTCATCTCTCATGGATACTGCATCACCTGCGAGCGCCTTTCCGTAACGGAGCGTCGAACTACTGCTGCACTCGGATGTGTATTTTACTTAACTCTTGTTGGCTACCGAGCTTCTGTACCTTATTTCACGGTGAGTTTCTTGATTTCATATTCGGTCAACTGTAACTTCGACTTTTTCATCCTTTTAAATAGTGTACTAATAAGATGTATTATTGCACTATTTTACAGGTTCTTTTAATGCTTAATTACATGATTTCTTTCTATGTAATTTTTCACCACATATCACAAAATCTGTTAGTGTTGCGGGAGCAATTGACCTTTATCGAGGATGAGGAGGTCCAACCAATGTTTGATGCTGTTTATATGAAGTACAGAATGTTCAAGTATGTTTTGTTGTTATTTAAATATTTTAACCACATACTGATTGCTTTTAGTGACAATAATCTCATAAGATAAGCTTCTTACGCAACCGGGCAGGAAATTTCAGGGTGCTATGCAAATACTTGCAGTGGCCGAAACTATGGTACGAATATGCCAACCTCACCTTCTCTGGATTTAACAGTTATATAAGTTCATGAGTGATATGATTGCTTGAGATTTTCATTTTCAGATATACATAAACATTGATGACTCCTCGGAGAATTACTGGCTTCGGTTATTGGTTCGAGAATGGGCTCAATTCTGCATCTTTATGTACATTGGGTGTGTATGAACTACTAAGTAGCTCATATATTTTGTTGATCCAAATTACCATAAACAATTCTTAATCTGTTGATTACACGTCAAGTCATTTCAATAAATTATTTAGCGGCTTTTACCTGATTGTCATGTGCAGGTGGACTTTTAGATCACAAGAATTGGCGCCACGTTTTTCTGTTATGCCAACTTTGAAATCTAAAGTGGATTTAATGGTCCCTCCGATCTATCGTATAGTAAGTTAATCCGCCATTTGAAAACTTATCTTTCTTTGATGGATAGCATTTAGTTTGCATGTTGATGGTGTGCTTTAAAACCTTATTTTGCATTTCGTTAATGATTGACTTGGCTTTTACATCACTTCATGCACCTTATCATGTTCCTCATTAACTATGCTTAAAAGACCAAGAAATAACACGTTTTTTTATCGGATAGTTTCCGTTGATATGTCCTTTGTGCCTGGAGGAACATCCATCTTGCAGTTGATATGTCTGCTCTTTACACCGATGCTTTAAGTAGCCGACTTAAGTTCACCGGAGTCGTATAAAGTTTCAGCTTCTGCTTTGCTTTTTGCATTCAGTTTCATTTGATTCTTTTACATCCTAGAAATGAGGACTTACATTGAAATGCCTCGTACTTGGAGTTGAAAATAGACATTCACGTCAGCCTTGTTTTACCCCGATCGATCATTTTGTTGTTAGAGACTGCATAGATGGGTAGTAATCCTAAGAACATCGATTAGCATTTATATTCTATTTCTGATGATATCAAGTCATGCTACTGCAGGAAATGGATGCAACGAGTTTTCAGGAGTTTCAAAGACATGAATGGCACATCGGTGTGGTAAGCTAATTGTATTCAACACACATTTCATTGTTGGTTGTAACTTAATGAATCGGTATTGATCATCTTTGAAGCTCATTAAATTCTCCACTGTGATATTCCATATCTAGCACCTCGTGTTTACCGGAATTCTTTTTTACTGCTGTAGCCAACTTCTGTACGAGACAAAAGCTCAAGAGATTCGGTTTTGGTAATAATTCAGCATCCGAATGCATATCGGCCAAGGACACTAGTTTCGTCGAGAAAACAGCCAGTATAGCTTCTCAAAAACTGCTGATTTTTTCCAGTGCAGGATCATGTATATCCAAAGAAAGCATAGATTAATAAAGCCCAATATGGTGAGGAGCAAAGTTTTATACCATAATTAACAGAGATTTTTCTTACCCAAAAAGAAGAGAAGAATCAAGTGTCAAAATTCATTGAAATGGGGGTAACAGAGTATATGCCACTTCCCATTAATGCATGTTGTATTAAAATATTCATATTAATTACAAATTGTACAGTCTTCTTTCCCATTTCAAGTTTCAATCTTCTTTATAGCGAGAATAATGGCAGAGGTGATAATGGGTAATGATTTGGGAGAATTAAAATCATGTGGTTTCGATATAAATTTAACTTTTTCTTAAAATGGTGTAGTTTTGACACTCATTTAGTGGGATCAGAACCTAAAGCATAATTCTTTTTTTTCCTTTAAAGCTAAATAAAAAGTGTGTTGCAGAATGCAACAACTCCATTACATTCCTTCATTGCCGCCTCTTAAATACTGAGGTCAATGCCTATTTCCTAAATTTTGCTTTATTAATTTTCACATCAAATAAAGAACAAATAATTGAACCTGAAAGCACAATAGATAAATTAAACAAAAGCGACGATGAACAAAACATACAGAGCACAAACATGCAAGAAAAACAGTAACAACAGCGTGCAAACTAACTGTAGAGTAAAATGTATAAATATTTTGAAATTATAGAAATGTAATAAAGATTGGTAGAACATGTGATGATTCATTGCTTTATCTTCGCTTGTCAATTTCCATCTCAAACATCTTTTCCCCTTCTTTTCATTGTTTTTTCACCCTACTATTAATTTTCTTAAACGTATTTTAAAAAACAAAATAAAAACAGACTCAGGAAACAACTGGAGATACAACAACTTTACGTATCCAATACAAGAAATTCATTAAAAAAACAAACTTCAAAAATCATAACGTCTAACTGCAACTGGACAACATTTTCACAATTTTCTGCCATCTCAAATACAAATATGCCTGAAAGTTTATATAGCCTATTCTAAAGGATGTCCCCCCAACTAATATATTGCATGCAATGCAAAGGTCGAATATGCATGTAACATCACTGCTCTGTTATTTGGAAAGAATATTTACCATCATTGTGTGCCCTGGAGATTCTAAGACGGTAGGTCCATTCAGGCACAATAACATTACATCGTCCTCTTTGGATCACGAGCAGCTGCAAGATGATCCTGAAAAATAGAAACCAAATACAAGATGATTCCACAAACAACTCACTTCACAACTGAACCATTTCTCATCCCGGTTTCACAATTTCAACAGCAAGTTATTACTTTTCTCCACATCTGACATCCAGCATAAACAGCAATACTTACTAAGTTCTCACTTTCATCCTTTGGACCACTATTTTAGCTGTCTAACTGCTATAAAGAGTTTGGCACGTAGAGGATTTTAATGGATAAGTACCTGGCCGTTTAATTAGGCTTGACAGCATAAAATAAATAAAATATAGAACAGGTCACAACACAAACAGCAGAAGTCGCTGGAAACAGAGACATGGTTGACCGGAAGCTAAATGTTTCACATCTTTACTTTTTTTTTATTAAGCTAAGATGATTATAAAGTAATATATGTTCTAAATACTCTCAACCATTTGACAATGAACGCTCAATCACCCTGTTGCAGTCATAGGTGCTCGAACCTATGACCTCTAGGAACAACAACGATTCCTTTAACTACTGAGATAAGTATCTTTACTTTATTTTATAGCAGTCAACGAGGCACTCCTATGAGCTTGGCATATCTAATAAAAGGTATTCAAGGGAAAGACCTCATAAATTTTGATAAAGTAACAATCCAATTACTTAAAAGAATATTGCTTATTATGTGAAGAGGAAATTGGTATGACACTACCTTAATTAGCATAGCTAGAACTTAAACTCACCGAAATAAAATCAAATGCTCTGGTATCCTCTTTCTTGGAACTGTTCATCATTGAACTAGGTGTTTGAGTTGGAAAATTAGACAGGAATATATCAGGCAGAGGTGATCCTACAGGTCCACTTGAAACATTATTGAAGCCAGCATTTTGAGTATTAAGATTACCAAAGTGTTGTAAGTTGGACATTGTTGCAAGCAATTGCTGCTGAGCAAAGAAATTCCCCGTAGCACCATAATTCATAGGCTGAGAAAAGGCTGGGTTCAACATTAATCCAGGAGGGATGGCATATGGCATAGTCCCTAAAGAAAACATTGTGTTTGAATCCATCCCAGCTGCTTGGGAACCTAGAAGACCACTCAAAGCATCATTAGAAGCGTGATGGCTAGAATGAGTGTTGATATCGGTAAATATATCTTCAGGGTGTGCCTCAGAAAAGGTTTCTTTCTGCTTCAAATTAGATGGATTCTCATTCATAGATAAGTCAGCCATCAAATCCTTAACATCAGTTTTTTGATTCGCTGGTTCAAATGGAGCATCAGAATTGGTCCCAAAGATATCAATTAGTTCAGATCTTTCATTTGGTGCTGCAGAATTAATACTCACAGTTGATTTGTCATCTACAGTCATCCCAGAGAAGAGATCATCCACATTTTCTCTACTCTCACCATTGGGAAATGAGACATCTGCAAAGGGATCATCATCATTTTTCTGTTCCATGGTGCCGAGACCAGTGTCTATAGCATCTCCAAATAAGTCATCAATAAGAGGCGCCGTTGTCCGTACTTCGGTATTTTGGTGATGTTGGGTTTTTGCGGAATTATCTAGTCCATTGTAATCATCAGAATCACCAGTGTCGATCAGGTCAGGCATTTGAACTGGTGTGATCTCAGTCTTCAAATACTTTTCTGAATAACTTGCCAAAGCATCAGGTTGTTCTCCATTCAAAAGGATCAACACCTGTTTAACAAGCATATCATGTGACATCAACCAAGTTCTATCTTAAAATATCTCAATTTGAAGGTTCAAACAAAAAGTAAATATCTCAAAAGGATCAATAGTGTCATCAAAACATTAAAGCATAACAAGGGAAATCATAAAATGGATCACAACATTTAAAGCAATAAACATGGAAGCACAACAATCATAAGAAGATCAGGACTATGGTCATTTACGCTGAAGGGAAATCAAAACAAGGGAGCCAAAATATAATCTGACATCAACCGAGAGTGTCTTAAAATATCTCAATCTTTAGGTTCAAACAAAAAGTAAATATAAAGCTGTCCTCAAACTATAATAATAAAGAGAAAACAACGGATTGTTCAATAAGAATGTTCTCTTAAATTCTCTATCCTAAATATCAGACTTAACATTATTATATATCACAAGTTTCCTGGAACTTTCCCCATTTAAAAGAACACCACCAGATCAACTTAGATTTGCATAAATACGTCATCAAAAAATGCAAGACTTTTATGAACTCCAACAGGATGGGAATTCAATTAGGCTTCCTGGCGTTAATCATGAAATTGTCCATATTGCTAAAAGCAAGTTCTTAATCATAAGTTGGTTCAATTTTCCTATATCTCCCATGGCACCAGTTTACTAAATTACAGCTTATTGTAGTTGCTTGGTTGGTAAACAAAAGAAAAGGAGAAAGAATCTAAAAGCATGCCACCAAGATCAGCACTCTGAGCTGACCTTAATCATAAACAAATATGATTTTCACCTTTCTGATTAAAAGTAAAACAGAGGGCTGACTAAGATATTTACCTTGTTGGCCTTTTCTCTGAGGGAAGTTTGGGGAGACTCGGAACATCTCAAAACAATATCTTTGTTCTCGGTAAAATAAGAAGCCACGATTAAGAAATGCTCATCTTCCTTTTTCCTCAAAATGGACTCCAGCACACATACAGCTTTCATGCGAACCTGGCCATCATTGTTGAAAGATACTAAAAACACAGATATATCATTTCTTTTTTTTTTCCCTTTTTTGAAAAGAAGTCAATATAAAATATAGAATTATCACCGATAGAAACATGGTCATGTAATCAGCACGGTGTGCTGTGTGCCTCCATGTACACCAAAGTAGTTAGAGCTAACCCAACCACCACCACCCAAAAAACAAACAAACAAAACAGTTGTGCCGCATTGATAATTCATTATATAGGGTGAAGAGATTTACCTGCCACATTGGAGATAGAAGCTTAGATTCAAGGGCATGACTTAAAGCCACAGCATCAAGCTTTGCAGCCTCCACAAGGAAAGCCTGAATTGCATCTCGAGTAGGTTGCAAACGCAGTCCACCAGATGTCACTATTGTTTCCAACAATCTCTCTTCACGAGTTTTAGTCTCTTTATATGAGTTGGATTCTCCAGTCGTTGTTTCTGCCTTTAATACTCTTGAATCTTGGCCCCACGGTCCACTAGCAGAACTCCCAGAAACCCTTTGTGTTTCTTTGTGCAATTGAACAGGTTCATACCTATCAGAAAGGTCAATTTCTCCGGTCAATGACCTTCGAAGTGTAGGGCTTTTGTAGTTTCCATTATCATTCTTTCCAAGAGACTGACCCTGAGTGAAACTACTAATTCCCTGCTTGATAGAAGCACTTCCAATGCCGACGACCTCACTTAGAAATGATTTTTTATCATCCGGTGGCATTTCAAAGTTTGTGTTCCCAAATCCTTGTATTCTTTTGTTAAGTTCATCTGCAGGAGAAGGCTTACTGGGATTATTGTCCTCTGCAAATATAGCAGAAATAGCTTCATGAGCTGTGTCCCGAACAGCCTTATTGAGAGCATCACCCTTCAAAGGATTCGGTTGCCCTCTGTAATGAAATAACTGACGCACAACTGCAGAGTTCCTCTGCATTTCTCTCCTAAACTCCACACCAGACCTTCCCACTAAATATTTTATCAGCCTCAAAGCCTGTAAAAATCCCACTAACAACTCAGTATTGATATGTTCCAATAATTCATTTATAGGATGTGATTTCTCCACCCTTTGAAGAATATTAGGCTCTTCTCATTGTTATTTGTGTTAATAGCTTTTGCTTTAGTTACATTTACATACAAACGCAAGTAATACTTTGATACTGATATTTAAATACATAAAACCTCAGTTAAAATTCTACGACCATTGTTACTTTCACTGCTTGACTAAATTGAGCTCAACTTCAAAATTTTGGATTCATAACTTTACCAGGAAAATTTCCCCAGCCAAAACGACAAATTGATTCAAATTGACTAGATT